TCCCACACCCCTACTTAGGTAACTAAAGATGTGCTAAGAATTATTACTTTTTTGTAAGCTTGGCGGCCATATTGAATTTTCAGGCTGGGTTGGAGGAACCGTGGCTAAAGACAAAACTATAAACTGGAAAAAAAAAATCGATATCTAGATGAGTAATTTTTTATTAAAATAAATGCATTTCTTCTTGAATTGACAAGGTAAAAGAGACACTTTGCCAATGGAATGAGACAATTTTCATTTACAATAAGAAAACACAATTGCATTGTCTTATTTCTAGTGCATGTTATCTAATTATCTTAAGATGAAAAAATACTCATTCCATTGGCAAACTATTTCATTTACCTACTCAAATTAAGGGTAAGTACACTTAATTTAAGACATTTTTACTTATTTCTAGATCGTTTTTCCAGTGTAAAAATGCCTTCTGGTAGGTTCCTTTGAGTTTGAAATTCAGTAATAACATCTGCATAGAAAACAACATATTTCCAATGTTAACCACAAACTTATTTCCTCCGTCAACAAGCAGAAACTAAATCATTACGGTGAACAAATGCATAAAAATGACAAAACTTCACAGTTGTTTTCAGCAGCTTTCTCAACAAGCTACTGTACCAGCATTATGACAGTGGGTTCACATTAAGGAGAAAAAACTCAGAGTTATTTTTTCTCCCATTTAGCTCCTAAAATCCCAAACTTACAGAGAAATGCTTCTATGTGAGGAACTTTTTTTGTTGTGCAACGCTGAAGCCGGACACCAAATAAGTTTAGCTTATTCTGGCAAATGTTTGGTGAGGATTTAAACAAATAAGCTTCTGCAGAGAAGCGAAGCGAGCCCCGAACGTTCAGTACTCACAGAAACCTGGAAGGGCGGCGCTTTCTCCCTGGTTTGGTCTTCAGGTGATCATTAAACAGCTAAACCAGTGGAAATAATAACATCAACAAAAGCTCAGTGTCATTTACAAACCATTCACAGCCAGTGACTTTCAGTGGGGATGCCGAGTGGAAGACATACAAAAAAAATAAACCATTTTTAAATATATATATATATATAAAATAAACATCAAATGCATGATGTAACCACATTTACACAAATAAATAATCGCATACAAACTCTAGATGAAAACATATTGCCTTCTGGATGACCAACCGCTGAATCATACAGCTGCTTTTGCAGGTTTTTAACACTTTCAATAAGATATCTGACGGCTTATTGCTTGCTGCAGAGTTCCTGGGAGCCACGGGTTACCTTGGCTTCCTGAGCGATTAAAGGGATGCAGCAAATATTGGGCAAATGTTGAGAGAATATTATGTGGCAGCCACATTTGCACTGCAAAAACTGGTCAAGATTTCCTAAAATAAGCATATTTACCCTCAATTTGAGCCGGTAAGTAAAACAATCTGCCAATGGAATGAGTATATTTGTCCTTAATATTAGATATTATGAACTTAACAGAAGATGATGAAATTTTTTTTTCTTCTTTTATAAGTAAACCATCTTATTTCATCAGCAGATTAACTCCTTAAATTGAGGGAAATACCCTTATTTCGAGATCAATTGACCTTTTTTTTATTTAAATTTCAGCAGTGTGTTAAAAGCCTCTCATAAACAAATATTAATAATCTCATAATTTGCAGACGACAGTAAACTTAAACACTGGAAAATGTAGAAAATGACTGCCTCTAATTCATACGGAGAACGAGGCGAGGCAGCAAACCGCTGCATCTCAAGCTGTAGGTTTTAAAATTTTTCTGGGTGAGACCACACACTGGAAAAACGATCTAGAAATAAGTAAAAAATGTCTTAAATCAAGTGTATTTACCCTTAATCTGAGTAGGTAAATAAGATAGTTTGCCAATGGAATGAGTATTTTTACTCTTGAAATAAGATAATTAGATAATATGCTCTTGAAATAAGACAACGCAATTGTTTTTTCTTATTTTAAGTGCAAATTGTCCTTTTTCATTGGCAAAATGTCACTTTTACCTCCTCAATCCAAGAACAAATGTAGATATTTTAAGAAAAAATGACTTAGATTTATTCCAGTGAGCTTTATGAAATAATGTGGCTGCCACTGGGCATATGTAAACCACCAACATACAGCAGGTTCTGATAATCATCGGGATCAGGAAATATAGATTTGAAATTTGTATTCTGCACATAAACGCACGTATTTCATTTGAACTTAATAAACAGATGAATTCACAATGGTTGTGCAGAAGCTAATTTGTCTCGTACAAAAGATAAAAAATAACACTTGGTATGACAGTATTAGGAGATTTAAGGTCGGAATTATAAGAATTTTAACTCCCAATCTCATGACTTTAATTATAATTATGACAAAATCTCAGAATTATGACTTCAAAGTATTTGATTATGACTTTAAATCTAATATGAAAGTCTAAATTATTCCTCTAAATCTCATAATTCAGACTTTAAATCTGATAATTATCACATACTACACTGGAAAAACGATCTAGAAATAAGTAAAATTTCTTAAATTAAGTGTATTTACCCTTAATTTGAGTAGCTAAATGAGATAGTTTGCACATGGAATTAATATTTTTCTTCTTAAAATAAGATAATTAGATAAAATGCACTTAAAATAAGACAATGCAATTGTGTTTTCTTATTTTAAATGTAAAATGTCTTTTGTCTCCTCAATCAAAAAACAAATAAACTTATTTTAAGAAAAATTACTTATCTAGATATGGTTTTTTCCAGTGTATGTGCCAGGCTTTACTTTTCAGTGGGAGAAACAACCTTCCTTAATGGGTAAATCCAATTTTAAGGACTCCTTTTCCAGATTAAAAGCATTTTGCTGACTGTTTTAATTCATTTGAACACTTTTACTCTAACAGAATAAATAAAACCAACAGTTTAGATGCTCAGTAGATTCAAACCTGCAGCCTTGGTGCTCTGCTACTCGACTGACTATTACAGCGGATCTGGTCACTTTGCTGGTTGTTGCTTTTTTAACATCTTCTCAACTTCAGACAAAGTCTCTGATTCCAATAACTTAATTCAGCCAAAGCAGACCTGAACTCATGCATATTGTAAATGATGCCACCATTGTTAACTTTTTAACTTTGGAAGCTTCAATCTTTGGAACAAAGAGGAAAAACAATAAAATAAATAGATGCAAACAAAGTGAAAGTGTTTCCATCAGGGACATAGCAGTCAAGGATTTTCCCTGTGGAAACCTAAAAGGTCCGTCTGCTAAATAAAAAAAAATAAAATCCCTGCCAAAACTGATCAGAAAATAAGTCGAAAATTCTTCAAATCAGTGTATTTGCTCTTAATCTGAGCAGATAAATCAGACCACCTTCCAACAGATGAGTAGTTTTGTCCTTAGAATAAGATAATTAGATATAATGCACTTGAAATAATAATAATAACAACCTATTTTAAAAATAAAACCTCTCATTCTGATAGAAAATTGTCTTACTTATCCGCTCAGATCAAGAGAAAATACATTTATTTAAAAGAAAAAAGGATTATTATCAATTTTGGCAGAGAGAAAAAACAAGAAAACAAACATTTCATTTGCAAAAGGGTATTAAATAACATGTGCAGCCGACGTACAAAGGAGGTAATTGGAGTCATTTGTGCTGCTCTAAGCTCTGGTCAATCTCATAAGGCAGAGTAGAGAATAAATTACAGAAAAATAACAAAGAAAAAGCTGATTAAAGCTTGATAGATGAGTTTTGTATTGTTATAATATGTGAAAAAAACATTAAAAACATTTAATTTAGAGTTAAAACAGTTAAATAAAATTGAACCAGGTGTTACAGTAAAAATAATTACTGTATTATCTGAGTCATGAAAGGTTTTAACCGCCTGATTAGGGCCGACTTAGCCCCTCAAGCTAACAGCTAAAACAAATGAAAGATGCAAAATAATTTGTGCAAAATAATCAAATAAATTCCTTGCAAAAATATATCTGTTTTCCTGTCTATATATATATATATATATATATATATATATATGTCTGTATATAAATTCTTTACTTGTTTTAAAATATGCTTCAATATTTAAAACATCACTAAGAGATTTAAATCATCTAAATATATTTTAATTAATATATAAACTTTTGAATTCATCTCATCATAAGTTATAATATCAATATATATTTTAATGCCTTTGCTTTTTAATGTGTATAATAATTTTATCTGATCTCATTTTTAACTATTTGCTGACATGTTTTGGATTTTTGGTCTTTTTTTTTACCTCAGTGTTATTCCGCCCCCTAGTGGATAAAGATAAACTAACAAAAACTAAAAGCAGTTATTAATGCAGAAGCTGTTTGTTAAAAGCGTTCCTGACACATTTATTTTGCAATTTTAGTCCTTTTGCATATTTTAAAAGAACCTAAGCCTCTACTTTATGACATGATGTGTTTCTTTGAGCAAAAAAAAATAATAATAAAGACCTTGAATTAAAACGCTTGAGAATTTTTAGTTTCTGTCTGAACCTCATGTCATGTGTATTTGAAAACCTCAGGGCTGAATTTATATATAATTTTTTACTTTATTTATTTACTTTATGAATTATAAAGCATTTTTAAATTGAGTCAAAACTAAATAAGCTGGAGGTATCCGTTGGTTGTGACTTTTCCTTTTGCTGAAATTTAAAAACCTCAACAAAAGTTATTTTTTTTATGTCTAAAAAGGCAATTCAACATGCTACCAGAAGGGGGCAGTGTAAAGCTCACGCCTCTCCTTCAGCTGTGCAACCTTCTACAATAAGCAGCTAAATCCGTCTTCCATTTACCTCCAGTGTAGCACGGCAGAGGCAGACACGCCGCCTGTGCAGATCAAGCTAAAACGCAAAGGTAGATGATTTTTGGTCGGACTGGTCCTTCAAGAAAATACATCCCCAAACGGGGCCCCTCAGACTCCCTGCTGTTCCCACTCTGTACCGCGTTCCTGGTCTTTAGTCAGTGTAGGGATGGGAACATGCAAGGAGTGATGGTGGAGAGCGGAGAGGTGCTGATCCTTGGTTGTTTTTTTTTTAGTAGTGCAAGGTATGGAACAGACAGCTCTCTGAAGTTAAATGGTGCTTTCAGTGTGTGTGTGACTGATGGTGTGGACATGTTGGGAGGACTGGGTGTAACTGGGCCGGCGGAGGCCCGCGCAGTTCGGCTGCTCACTGAGCAGAGTGGTGGTCTCTCCCGGTCCGCTGTCGGACGGCGGGGAATGCTGAGGTTTGGAAGGAAGCGATGAGCCCACAGCAGGTTTCAGAGCACATGGCAGCGCGCCCACACAGGAGGGAGGGGTGTGGTTGCTCGGAGGGGGCGTGGCCTGGGGTAAGACCTGGCTCGACCTGCGGCCGGCGGAGCCCACGGTGAAGGAGGCGCGGGCGCTCTGGGGCGTGGGCTGGGAGTTGGGTGACGGGTGCTTGCCAGGGGGCGTGGCCAGAGCCAGCGGGGTTTTTGTTTCTGGGGGCGTCAATGGAGGCAAGGAAATGGAAATATCCAAGCAGGCGTGGCTGCCCTCTGGAGACTGCGGCGTGCTGTCCAACCTGGACGCCAGAAGAGCGTTCTGGTAGTGAGCGCGGGTGACCTGAGGAGGACAATGACAGACTAAAACATTGCTGGATGGTTTTACAAAACTTCAACTTTAGCATGTCCACAGTTTGTTCCTCATAACGAACCTTTCATACGCAGCTTATGAGCTTTAACTTTATTTAATTGCCTGTAACAATAGCAGCTACGTACATTTGCTGATCAGTGAGTAAAAAGTAGTTTGAATCTATTTAGAAGTGAGAAAGTCCACCTTAAAACTTAATCTGTGCAATCAGTTCATCCAGATTACCATCCTGCCTTCAAATATTATTTCTGTCGGGGCCGCTCAGACCCCGCTCATGTCAGCCGTGACAGCGGGGCGCTGTCACGGCTGGAAGGCGTTTTTCATATAAATAATCCAAACTGCAGGCACCAGGATAATAAAATCAAACACATTTTGCCGGCAGATTTCGGCATTTTAAGGTAATTTAGGCGTTAATAAACTGTTTCAGAGGAGTGATCAAAGCGCTCTGCATCATCAGTGCTTCCTGTCTCCCTGCCTGCAGCTGCTCCTGCTGCTCTAGACGCGCTGCAGATAGCGTGCGCGTCATGTGTTTTGAAGGCGTCGTTTCGTGGGGTGGTCTGAAGGGAGAGGCATGGTGGTGTTTGTTCAAAAATATAGCTTGCTGGATCAGTTTTTCCAAGATCTACGGCGCCTTTAAGGTCTCTGAATAGGGTAACATTGGTTGGGCTGAAAATGAATTATTTGCTGTTCTATGAGCCCTAATGCAGCCCGCTTAAAAGCCAAGAATGAAACGACAGGTTTTCTTCCTTTTATGGTATGATCATGGATATAATTAGATGAGCTGTGCTCTGATTGGTTGGTTTACTGAGCAAAGACGCATCATAGCAACAAGCACTCACTCACTGAAACATCAAATGGTTGATACGGACACATTAGATGTTGAACCATTTATGTATGAGCCAGAATCAGAGGAAGAATCGATATAATTTACACGATAAAGTTAACGTTACTCCTTGTTTTAACCTCTTAAAGTGGTAACACTATCGCCTTAGCTGGGTAACATTATAGCTTAGCTTCTAGCAACCAAACTATCGTGATTCTACTCAGCTTTAGTCATCTGGCTGGAATAGACTAAGAAAATAACCTGATGAAGATCTGGACAAATACGCATCGTAAAGTGTAGATTTATATATCAACATGTTATTTATTGAAGGAAATAAAGTCAGGGAAATTACATGACACCCATGGCTAACAAACTGAATGTAACACATTCTGCATGCTGCTACATACGGTATCCTAGCAACAGCTTAGCAATCATACTTCCAGCCCCTTGTTTCAGCAAAAGAAGTTTAGTAACTCCTGCTTTGAACTTTTCAAGATTTTGAAAGCTGTCTTCTGTAAAAAGCTGAGAGCAAATAAACAGGTGAGCTTCAAACTTTGCAGAGAAGTTCTGATACAAAAAAAATAATCCATGCCTAATTAATCCGCCAGATTTCCCCCTTCCTCTGTACAGCCTGGAACTCTGCATATACACCTGTGGTTCTGGCTCATTTTCAATACAGAAACTTCCTGCTTTGTAATTCTTGTAGAAGTAAACCCAGCCGAAAGCTAAACAGCTAAACTGGTGTCTTATGCTACGTTCACACCTAAAGCAGGAAAGGCAGCAGGAGCAGCTAGTTTACATGCAGAATGTACTGACACGGGAGTGGATTTTCACTCCTGTCCCGGCCCACTCCCACAGAAAAAAATAGTGTCCCGTCCCGATCCCAGGCCACAGTAGAAATCTAAATCCTGTCCCGTCCCACTCCTGATGAAATTACTCCCACTCCCATCCCATTCAGAATGACTCCCGCTCCTGCACCACTCCCATTCTTGTTGTCTTCAATAAGATTTAACTTTTAACGTCGTGTTCGCCACTAACTGTTGGTCCCTCCATTGTTGTTTTTGAGAGCAGGTGAAAAACTCAGAGCGGAAGCACTGTTGGTTTTTGGGTCGTGTAGTTTTTTTTTACTCGCATTATAGGGTAGGCTTCAAGGAAAAAAACTACAAAATGGCAGCGCCAGTACTGGATTTTTTTCCTTTCTATTTTATTTTATTTTTTGGCATCAATCCTAGTTTTTTTTAGTTACTATTGGTTTGCTCCCGCTCCCGTTAATGTTTAATCCTGTACCGTCCCAATCACGTGATTGTTACTAATACTGACTCCCATCCCACGGGAATCCCGTGACCCGTGGGATTCCCGAAAAAATGTCAGTCTCTAACGCACATCAAGGCGCAGGAAAATTTCCCACAGCGCGTTGTGAGCTTCTGAGCACCTGATGCACAGAACGCGCTGCAAATGCAGCAGCTACTAGAGTTGGAAAAATTGAACTTTTGCTGCTTGATGCGCCACATCAACCAATGAAAGAAGCTGATCTGGGAGCTGGCAGGGAGACAGACACAGCGCTGCTGATGCAGAGCGCTATGATCACTCCTCTGAAACAGTTTATTAACGACTAAATTAACTTAAAATGCTGAAATCTGCTGGCAAAACGTGTTCACTTTTATTATCCTGGTGCCTGGATTTTAGATTGCGTACATGAAAAAGAGGCGACCGGGCCAGAAGCTGCTGTTGAATGGGATTCCTAGTGACAGCGCGCTGCCGGTGTACAGGGGTCTGAGCAGCTCCAACAGCAAAATAATATTAAAAGGCAGGATGGTAATCTGGATGATCTGACTGCACAGATGAAGTTTTCAGGTGGACTTTCCCATTTCAAAATATTCAAACTACTTTTTACTCACTGATCACAGCAAATATAGCCGCCATTGCTACAGGTAAAGAAAGGATAGAGTAGCTCCGCCCAAAAACCCACTTTTTTCCACCATGCAGCCAGAGCAGCAAAGATGCTTCAACCGCGCATCAGAACTGAACTTTTACAAGCATCAAAAATGAAGCAGCATGCACGTTTTTGCTGCTCTTGCTGCGTGTGTTCTGAACGCAGCATTACATCTTTGCGACCTTTATTCATGTTCTTGGGCCGTGAACCAGTGGGCTGGTCTGTATGTAAATTTTTTAAAAGTACAGGCCAGAACCAAATAAGGAAACATCCCCGAGTTTACGTCAACTCGGTGCTACGTTTGGAATCGCACATTTTATGGTGGAAGTTTAGAATTGTGAGATTTGCAGAGAAATGAGGTGTCGATGGGGTTTGAACTTCTCTGTACGTCCATTTCACCCACTGAACTACCGTTATTCATCTATGACAATGGAAACTCGGTGTCGCATTCTATGACCCCTTTAAGGTTCAATGTTTTTCTTTCTTTTTAGAGACATAAACTTAAGCAGACGGTGAAAGATCTTGTGCAATTTGGGCAATGATGAGTAAAGTGAAAGATGTTAGTCATTTTCATTCAAAAACAATAGGTTTTTCCACAGTTTTTGGTTTTAATCTGGTTGGTTAATCTGATGCATCCAACCAATCTTTTGGTTAAACTAACCAATCTAATTTGGCAGTGTTATTACCCAATCTATATTGGTAAAAAAGGCAAACCAATGTAAATAAGTAGCATTGCTACTTTCAAAAGCCTAAGGCAGGCGTTGAACCAACAACCACTGGATTGGAGAGCAGAGTCTTACAGCTGACGGCACCTGCAATACTAACTGTCACTTAATACAAGTAGATACAAATTAATATATCCAAACTATCCAACTGGCCACAACTCTCCAACAAACTCCTGCATCTTGACTGAATACTGAGGCTGTCTAAATGCCTGTTGATTTGCGGGTGATCTGAACCACTTCCTGAAGCTGTCGCGGTGTTATGCGGTGTAGCAAGGCTTCGGACGTCTTCGATTTTGGCCCCTCCCCTAAATGAAGATAGCCTCAATACATGCTTAGCGGAAACGCCCCCTCCACGAAGCCTCAGCTCATCTCATAACATCACTATCCAACACATTTTTGAAGTAATTTCTGCCTGTTTTCAACAATAATATTGATTTCAAATATCCGGGTGCTTTATCTTGTTTATTGAAAAGCAGCCAATCAAACACTAGAGTATCTATGGAAGCGGCTCTAGTCTCACCCACTGAGTTTCATAGTTAACAGTTTAAATTATTTACTATTTTAAATTTCTTTTAAATATTTCCTGGCAGATTAACTTAATTTTTAATGTATAAATCTAAAGAAACGTCTGCTCTCTGGCTCCCCCTACTGGTCCTTTTTTGAAAGGCCCTGTTCTGAAGGTGGGAGCCTGTTTACTGCAGAGGGATGCAGAAAAAAGCTTTAATGTTACAAAACATTTACTTAGTACTGCTTTAGCTGTACAAAATTGTTTAATGCTGTATAATATAAATAAATGCATCATATAAATATTCAAATACGCATATATGTATTTTCTTTTTTATGTATACTTGAGTTTAATTCTATATTTTTCCATTTCATTTTGTCCCCTTTAATCCTCCCAATTGTTTCTCTTTAATAAAAGAAATAACCACTAAAGTCATCAATCTTAGATGTTAGATTTGGATGATCATTTTCTACTTAATGTACTTTATAAATGATCATTAGATGGGGAACTGCTCCTTTTAAGCCAATATGTTTAAATTTGCATCACTTTTCGTTTAGGACTAACCTTGACGTACTGAAGATCAGCCAGAGCTCGAACGCTGAAGTCTGGGATGTACTGGAACGGGGTTCCTGGGATCTGAGTGTTGCTCCCGCTCATAGAGCCGCTCTCCTGAGCGCGTTCGGTGCAGCTCAGAGACGCCGAGCGGTTCAGGTTCCCCGCGTGCGACGGAGAGCGAAACTCTGGGGATGGACAGAGAAGACAGGTGAGCGGCGGCGCCGCGGGAAAATAAAGAGGAAGGAGCAGAGCCAGGAGATCTCAGGATGAAAACACACCGATGCATAACACTGGAGAGGGAAGAGTGTAGCACAGTGAAGCGGAGAGAAGTGATGAACGCACTGCGGCGCATCACGGGGAAAAACATCAGAACTTTATCAATGAGCAACGGATGATGCAGAGAGGAGAACGCAACAGACAGGACATGCGATGAGAAAAAGGGCACAGGTTGGACATGACATGGCTGCAGCCCAGGTGGCAGACGTCTCTCATTGGCTGGTTTTACGGCTGTCGCTCCAAGTGAGGGAGCAGCCCAGGTTTCCATGGTTACCTGATTTAAGCTGAATTTGAGGAATCAGGGAAACTTCTGGGCGTAAAGAAGCTGAGCACATGCTGCTGTATAACATTTTGCTTAACTGATAACAAAAAGGCTGCAAACGAGGTGGAAACTACGGAAGAGGATTAGGGCCACTGAAAAAAAAAAAAAAGATAACTGATTTTTAAATTTTATTTCAGTTTAACACGGGGGAAAAAGTCAGAATTCTGATTTTAGTCTTAGAATTCTGACTTTAATCTCAGGATTTTGAAACTTAATGTAGATGGGCACCATAAAGGAAGCACTCAGCTTCACTGACAAAGATGTGAATTGTTTGAGGTGGCCAGTAACACAATGGTGAAAAATTAAGGAATTAGGCGACTTCTTACGTGCCCGAGGGGTCCCCTTATTAATAGAGGAGCTGAAGGTCATTAAAACAACAGAGCTAGTCTCTAAAACAGACATGGCTATGGCTTGATGCTAACATGTTTGTTATCTGTCAGAATTCTGAGATTAAAGTCAGAATTCTGAAAAAAGGTCATATTTCTGAGATTAAAGTCAGAATTCTGAGATTAAAGTCAGAATTCCGAAAAAAGGTCATAATTCTGAGATTAAAGTCAGAATTCTGAGATTAAAGTCAGAATTCCGAAAAAAGGTCATAATTCTGAGATTAAAGTCAGAATTCTGAGATTAAAGTCAGAATTCTGAGATTAAAGTCAGAATTCTGAAAAAAGGTCAGAATTCTGAGATTAAAGTCAGAATTCTGAAAAAAGGTCATAATTCTGAGATTAAAGTCAGAATTCTGAAAAAAGGTCATAATTCTGAGATTAAAGTCAGAATTCTGAGATTAAAGTCAGAATTCTGAGATTAAAGTCAGAATTCTGAAAAAAGGTCATAATTCTGAGATTAAAGTCAGAATTCTGAAAAAAGGTCATAATTCTGAGATTAAAGTCAGAATTCTGAGATTAAAGTCAGAATTCTGAGATTAAAGTCAGAATTCCGAAAAAAGGTCATAATTCTGAGATTAAAGTCAGAATTCTGAGATTAAAGTCAGAATTCTGAAAAAAGGTCATAATTCTGAGATTAAAGTCATAATTCTGAGATTAAAGTCAGAATTCTGAAAAAAGGTCATAATTCTGAGATTAAAGTCAGAAATCTGAGATTAAAGTCAGAATTCTGAAAAAAGGTCATAATTCTGAGATTAAAGTCAGAATTCTGAGATTAAAGTCAGAATTCCGAAAAAAGGTCATAATTCTGAGATTAAAGTCAGAATTCTGAGATTAAAGTCAGAATTCTGAAAAAAGGTCATAATTCTGAGATTAAAGTCAGAATTCTGAGATTAAAGTCAGAATTCTGAAAAAAGTTCATAATTCTGAGGTTAAAGTCAGAATTCTGAGATTAAAGTCAGAATTCCGAAAAAAGGTCATAATTCTGAGATTAAAGTCAGAATTCTGAAAAAAGGTCATAATTCTGAGATTAAAGTCAGAATTCTGAAAAAAGGTCATAATTCTGAGATTAAAGTCAGAATTCTGAGATTAAAGTCAGAATTCTGAAAAAAGGTCATATTTCTGAGATTAAAGTCAGAATTCTGAAAAAAGGTCATAATTCTGAGATTAAAGTCAGAATTTTGAAAAAAGGTCATAATTCTGAGATTAAAGTCAGAATTCCGAAAAAAGGTCATATTTCTGAGATTAAAGTCAGAATTCTGAGATTAAAGTCAGAATTCCGAAAAAAGGTCATAATTCTGAGATTAAAGTCAGAATTCTGAGATTAAAGTCAGAATTCTGAAAAAAAGGTAATATTTCTGACATTTTTCCCATATTAAACTGAAATAAAATGTAAAAATCAGTTAACTTTTTTTTTTTTTTTCCAGTGGCCCTAATCCTCTTCCGTAGGAAACAGCTAAATGAAACTCAAACGGTGGAGATTTTGTCACGCTGGGAAGACTTGTGCAACGATTCTTCTGTGGACAGAGTCCAGCAGAAAGATTCATACCCATGAAGATTTCCGTAACCACAGACTTTTAGCGTTTTTGACAGACCAACACAAACTAGTTCATAGTTTGAAATGCCTGAAACAATTATTCCTTTTGGTATTCAGAAGTTATTTAAATATATCTGCAAGGTTGTTTTATATTTGAATGTGCAAAAGAGAAGAGCCAGATAAAGTCTAGATGTGTTTCATTATTGGTGTGAAACTGTGGAACAAACTGAACGATCTTTTTAAGTTATATCCTTTTTGGTGAATTTTAAAAGAGCTTTAAAATGTAAAATAATAAAATCCTAAGTTGTTATGTAGATTTAAGAATAAGCTTTACTTCAGCCTATTCCTTTTTTTTTGGTAAATTGTGGGTTTGTTTGTTTATTGTTGTTTCTTTGTTTAATATCTATTTGGAAAAAAATGTAAAATAAAAGTAGCAAAACTAAAACCAAAGCTGTCCACCTGGACTTATCCGGCCAAGGAGTGTATTAGTAAAAGAAGAAGCCAATGGGGGAGCTGCAGAGATAATCAGCTCAGGTGGGTGAATCTGTTTGGGGGGGAAACTATCATGTGCTGCTCTTAAATCTGTCCTCTTTAGAAAAAGTTGGAAGTAGAGGGAAACGATTGAGGGAAACAATCCACTGGACTTTGTTTCCAAGTTTGAAGACGTTTCTCTTCCCATCCAGGAAGCTTTTTCAATTCAAAATGTCAGTAATAGCGTTGAGTTTGAGGCTTTATAGAGTAGGCCAAAGACAAAGCCTTGTTTTAGCTTAAAAAAGGCATATAACTCCCATTTAAAGGTGCAGAGTCACATTAGATGTCTGTACAAAAAAAAAAAGACTTAAAAAACATTTAAACATGATAAAATAATTACATATACACCAAGCGTCCATCTTGAAAGTGTTCAGTCTAAGTAGAGTTCCTGCACCTGGTGCAATGAGCTGATAAGAGCTGATATGAACAGATACGGCGCTACCTGCTGGCAAAACCACAGAACTACTAGAAAGCCAGATGGCAACTATTGAACAGAGCCTGACCGCTGTGCAATGCCCTGCTGTAAAGTGAGAGCTCTGCTGGTTGAAGACTAACCGATAGAGATTAAAGTAATCTAGTGTCTGGATAGAGACTAAGAATATCATTGCTATCACTAGTATCATATTAATAATCTTTACTTACACGTCTATCAACATAGCAGCTCTATCTGAACGCCTCAGTAGCTTAGCTTCCTCTTCAGTCAACAACAACGTTCAGACTGTTTTCTCAGGTCTGTTTCAATCTGATTCGTCTTGGAATCAAATCATTTTTGCTTTTTTCGCACTTGATCTTCGACTTTTCTTTATTTTCACATTTTGCAGGGCGATGCTAACTGGCTTAGCCACAGTAGGCTACTTATTTGTTTATCCCCTGTCCTCATTTGTTATTTTAGAAATAAACAAAAAGCTTTATTTGCTAAAAAACTGAGAAAAAACAAGGTATAATACATAAAAATAAAAAAAAAATATACAAACAGGATGTGGTAATCTTTCAGAAAAGCGGAGTGTGCTACTAGTGTGTAAATAAAAAAAAATAAAAAAGTCAAATAATGTGACTTTGCACCTATAAAGTTAGCAACACACCATTTAAGTGCCACAGCCAACATGTGGATAAAGATTAAAGTCAGAGCAAACGCACAGCTTTGGGAGATTTATTTCAAAAGAACTGCTGAAAATATTCCTTCACTACTTTGTGTTGGTCTTGAAGTCAATAAAGGTTCATTGAAATTTATGTTTGAGACGTGACAAAATGTAAAAAGGTTCATGGGATAGGAATATTTTTCCAGGCAGTAACTGTTAAAAACCAGATTACGCTTCATTTGCTGGCAGACTAAAACAAGCACCAGTCAGGGAGAGTTTCTTTTAACAAATAAAAAGATTAAAACAGGAAATCATTTATTTTTTCAGCCACAGTCTTGATAAATCCAGCTAATCTGATCTTAAAGGCAGGATTGTATTTTTTTTAAGGTGGACTCTTGAGCAAACCTATCGAGGACCAACTCTGCCATGTTTAAAAATAAACACAGAAATAAATAAATGCTCAATAAATAAATAAGCATACAATTAATTGTTTGTGTAATTAATTGAAGTTGACCCTCTAAGACAAACTCATTTGCATAATGAGGCAGAAATGCAAACAGAAATGTAAAGACGACAGGCAGTAATAAATAACATTGAAGAAATAAATAGGGTAAAAAAAAAATACAAAGTAAAAATAAAACAGACAAAAATATTATATCATGCAAAAAAAAAAAAAAAAAAAAAAAAAAGTTGAAAATTATAACGGACAATAAATAAATACGGTAATTATAACAAAGGCGGGAAATAAAGAAGCTAATTAAAAGGGATTCATAAATTTATGTCTCATTATATAATTTCATTTCTACCAACATGTTTTTGTTTATTGTATTTTTGGGGGCAATTAATTGTATGCTTATTTATATACTGAGCATTTATTTATTTCTGTATTTATCTTTGAATATGGCAGAGTTGGTCCTCCATACAAATCTTCATCAAAACGGACCTCCTAAGTGGACTATTAATAGTTATACCCTGATAAAGTTTGCACTGAATATTGTTCCATTGCTGTTGTAAGCAAAAAACAGAATGTGTGAATAGAAATTTGAAAAGACAAAAA